AACATCGACCAGACTACACAGCGCAACAACCCAGAAGACAGAAATCTTCATACTCATCGCCCTGATGACGGAGGCAGTATGACCTCTGAAACGTTGGTAAACATCGACCAGACTACACAGCGCAACAACCCAGAAGACAGAAATCTTCATACTTCAGAGTTCTTTTAGCTATCCTATATGTAGTAAAATTTGGTATACAATTTGATGTATTCTGGTACTTGAAGATGTTTTAATATTGTCCTTTAAGGTTTTCCTGCTAATATAGTGTATTTTTTCTTCCCAGTATGTCCTTCCTGTCTTACCTTTTGTTTTTCCTTGATTTGGACACCAAAACAATATTAGTTGAAGTACAAATTATGAAACACATAATCATCAAGGCCCTCCCGCACCCTCCCCAGTCTCATGTTACTTCTGTCTTAGGTCCAGATATTTTGCTCCTTACTTTGTTATCAGACACTCTTCATCTAGTATGGATTAACTAATTTGTTGTTCTTCATTACCTCGCAAGCCATGTTGACAGGCTGGACATGATATTTGTTTTATAGATGCATGGTCGAGGTCTTTCAGTACTGAATGATTTTCTTGAGGGCATGTTATATGTAATTTGTGAGTCGCACTAGATGGCTTTTATTTCTTGCAAGGTCGTAGCTTATAAGAACATGTTTCGTGTATGTCAGTAAGTAGCCAAGTAGGTCCCATGACTTATGCAGGAACAGAAATCACTTTTCTGGCTTCTGACTTGCTTGACTGCACAGAAAGTCTTGAAACTTTTTACAAAACTTATCATAATATATGATGAAACAGGTCTTTGTTTATGATTTCAAAAGTGAACAGCAGTCATTACAACTGCCATGATAAAAAGTATGCAGCAATACCAAATTTATGCCAGTTACTAGTTTTGTTACCTCTTTTATTAGGTCTCTTATTCTTCCTAAAGAAACTGACGTCATCGACAAAGACGAGTACCTGATTTAGGAACTTCAGTTCCAACTCTTCACATTTCTTTGTTACTCTCCTAATGGCACATTCTAGAGCAAATGGAAAGTGGTAGGACAAAGAAACATCTTGTTTTAGTCCACTGAGAACTAGAAAACCATCTCAGACAGATGTTATGTGATATGTACAAAATTAAAATTTTTAGTGTGCCATAAATTCTATGAATTTAAATTTAAAAGAACTTGAAGTGAATTGCTGCATTATATTCGCTTTAGTAACCCAGTCTGCCTTGAGTCATCTCTCTAAGGAATGTCAACTGTGAAAATGTAATGAAGTGTTTGTGTAAGTTATCGTCAAACCACGAATGAAGCCAGTTGTTACTTTTATGAGACATTATTTTAAAGCAGATTGTAACTGTTTCAGGATGTGTGAAGTTTGCTGACCACTTATATCCTGAGGAATGTGAGGTCCTTCTGAAAAACTTATCTGAGTGTCAAGTACCTTTTCAGTGTGCTCATGGGTGACCAGCCCTAGTCCCAATTGTGGATTTGTGGCATCTTCATGTAGAGCAAGCACGAGTAACTTTTCTTTTTATGAGTATTGCATATATCTTATCTTATGTTATTGAATATATTATTGGAGTACTGAGTCCTGCGTCGTAGCTGTGCGGTCTGAGACGTCATGCTTTGGACCGGTGATATTGATTCGAGTCTTGGGGGAGAAGAAATTTTCTCATGAGCTTACGACCGGTGTATGGGACCGGTGCCAACCCAGCATCGTGAGGAAATTTGGGAGCTACGATGAGTAGCGTAATCCGGTCATGAAAACTAGCAATGGCTGGGGGTTCGTCGTGCTGACCACACGTCACCCTGTATCTGGTTGGATGATCGTTCACCTCTACTTAGGCATGTGAACGTGAGGCCAGCAGTCAAGCTAGTCGGCTTTGGCTCTCAAAGGGCTGTTACGCCACATATTTAATTTAATTGGAGTACTGAAGGATAGTGTTTCATGTGTAAGTTAATGATATTCATCATTTTTATTTTGCCCAACATACCGAAAATATTGATTTCATTAGATTTTACTGTTGTCGTTAAATGAAATTTCATATTAATTTTGTATACATATATAGTAAGTTGAACTGAGAGTAGTAAAGTATTCTATTCTATATTTTTCATTAATGTGATACTTTATTGGTTTTTCACTGCGTTATACATAAATTTCTTCTAAACTAAAATGAAGACCATTTTTAATTTTCATTGATGTAAGATTGTGAAATGCTAATTATCTTTAATTTTTTTTTACAGATATGATCCAAACCTAAACTTTGGAAGCTGAATAAGAATAAGAGGTTAGAAAATGTGTCAGACTTGAAGTAAATCAGTGATATTGTGCTGTGATGTTTAGTTATTATTGTATTTATTTTAATTTTAGTGATTTGACTGATTTTTAGAAGTAGAGAAATAACCTAATAATTGATGAAGACCTGAAATGTAATATGTTATGAATTTTTGTTAAAGAGAGGAAACTTGAGATTTTTTATATAATTTTTATGTAACAAACCAGAAAGACTGTCATATGCTAATGAAATGTTAATTATAATATTGTCCATTAAGTGTGAATATAAGCTGTCCAAATAGCTGGCTTATTTTTAATCAATGTTTATGATTATCTCTTGTGGAGTTTTAGAAGCAAGGGTCGAGTGGGTCGGGATATTTTCCATATATTTTGGCATCCGCTTCTAATCATTTACTGGTCCTCCATGTTTGTATATTACTGCCACTGTATAATATGCTTGGCAGCACGATTTCAGAACCTGAATGCTTGGTTAGGATTTACCGAGTATTTGACTGGAATCATGATAATATTCTTCAAGGAACTGAATTAGACCTGTGTTGAAAAGACAGTACCGAAGTTTATAATAAATATTATTCTTGTCCTTAAGGATACTGTATAAGCCATTACTGACATCCGAAAATGGATGGTCCTCCAGAATGGGTGTTGAGTTAGGAACTAATCAACTCGTCACAATAAAACAACCAGCATATTACAGAAAGATTAAAAGTTTCATTGACCCTTATTTGGCTCTTGTGAACATGGCAATGAACTTTTGGTTTACATAAAAGGGAATTTTTTTGTTAGCTGAGCGACTGTTAGCTTATCAAGGACACTTCTATGTATGTAGTTATAATCACATAATTAATGTAACCTATATGTCAGAGAATTTGTTGTTTTACCCATTATGGTGTAATCATTTGGACGACAGCTTCGTATTCGGTTCGAATCCCGTCAGAGAATTGTAGGTTTTATCGTCAGTATACACTCAGACTATTTATTCCGCCATGCTTCCTGTCTTTATAAAAATGTATTTACATTTTTCTTTCACGGTAATTAAACACAATAAAACTGCGAAGGCAGAACCACAACGTTTTGGAGACACCCGGATTGCAGAATCGTTGAATTTGTTCCCCGAACTGATGCCTCAGAACACCCAACATGTTATCACAATGTTAAAGTATGCGCTTTATAACCTGCAATTCAGTTTTTCAGACGTGGCCACTGAGCGGCGCTTGAGTCAAAGAGTAGGAAGAGTTTAAAATCAGGTTCAGTGGGTTAGTAAGGTAGTTTAGGTTTAAATGAATTAACCCACACGCACCTTCAATTCCTTGTAGCCTTCTATTGGACTCGTCCATATCTGCAGCGCCTCGTGCTTACAGCGGCCGCGTCTCAGAAGTTGAATTGTACTGTGGGATGTCGGACTTTCGTGCCTTTCTAATCTAGCATCGGAAGTTATCAAATAGGCTGTGCATTATGCCATCTTGGGTTATGTGGATATTACACGATCATACCTTGATGAAAACGGAATTCATGGGGTGTATTTGAAGTATGTCTGTCAAACGTCCATATTTTACAAATTTTAATTCGTGCATGTGATGGTCAGTGTGAAGAGTATTATAAGTGGAAATAATTGTAAACACTACATGAAGCTACTGCGTGCAAGGTAAGGTTAGAATTCTAACCAACATACTATGGTTAATATGCTTAAAATAATTTATTTCTGTTGACGAAATACTCGAAGTGAGGTTTCAGGTTTTTATGGCATCGAGAATAAAGATGGTAACTTCTGGGATCGTGTATTATCGTAGAAGTTTACCGATCTTTTAGAGATTAGTACAGATTCCATCATCAGAGCGATGAAGTCCCAGAAGGATGTCATCTTCAGAGTACTTGAATTCTGAAATTAATTACTGAGCTCGTCTTGTCAAGCACATTTGCACAAAACCCATGCTGTTTGACATCGCATTTATGTGGGGGGGGGGCAGATTTATATTATACTGCTGCGGGTAAAATCAGTTAATGATCTATTTTTTAAAGGAGGTCTTAATTGTGGAGATGTTTGACCTCTACTGTCATGAAAATGGGTATTACGTGGTATCCTTCAGCATCGAATTGGTTAGGGTAGTAAATAGGCCTGCTGTTTTTTGTAATGACCGTTAAAAGATAATATCATTTACGAGCTGCTCCATTCAACAAGTGAGATTCCTTCACTGACTCGGAACGACCCAAGAGTTAAAGAGGTCTCTGTACTGTGGTTGGTATACATAACAACAACGTAGTATCGGGATGGTGATGGTCGCCGTGGAAGTAGTTGCCCGTCCAGAAGGTATGGATTTTGTTGTGTTGGTGGACGGGGAAACTACCGTGTTCTCTTCGGTTATTCTTGGTCCCTTGGTGTAGGCAAGGCCGGGGAGAAGAATTTGAGGGTTGCCGAGTCGTAATGCATTTGGTTTGTTCTTGTATGTTTGTGAGTTTCTTTGTTTGTAGTAGGGCAGTATATGACTCCGTGTAATGTGCGTGTATTATAATGTATTTTAAAACAGTAAATGGTTTTATTTCCAATTTTACTTGGCTGTGTTTTGAGTACACTCTTTTCAGGGGCGTGGGACAAGTGAACCTACGACATATAGAACTGAACACCTGCTCCCCCTTTCGACTGTTTTTGAAAAGGGGAGAGTGGATCAACAGATTTACGCAAATTCTTCGGGGTTAGTCGCCTGAGGTCGCCGTCCCCCAACCCCCGCTCACCCGTGTGACTCATGAGAGAGTGTGTTTACACGGATATCCAAGTCAATGAGATCGATATTAACAGAATTATCTTGTAAACTGTTTGCTTTAACTTTGCCATTTTTCCTTCGATGTGAATACGTAAATTAATTGGAAGCCGTCTCTCTTCACTCTGAAAGCGTCCCTTTAAATTCATTTTAACTCGTGAACCATTCTTTAGTAGACTCTTAAAATTTTGGTGTTGATTTACGTACAAACAGACTATAGATTCCCTCGAGTAGTTATAAAATGACAGATCTATGCTTGATTTATGCAGGAGAATGTTATTGTACGAAGATGCATATTTAAAATTACGCTATTAAGTTAAAATAATTGGGCGAACATGAATTTATACACAGGTTTATAGAAAACTAAATAAATTATTACAAAGCAAACAGTGGCATTATCTTGCGACTTTCAGATGAATATTTCCAAGTTCGGCACATTAGACATAACGGAAGATAATGGAATGAGGGACAATAAAATAAAAATTCCAGTGAATGACGGAACGATAAACACAGTTATGACATTGCGGATAACTGAGTCTGATGTGATAGAAGCTGTGTTGTGGCCTACTTTAATGCAACTGCCAAATATGCGCTAATGGCAGGAATTGTTACATATATTGAAACACTGGAATCTTTACATTGTATCATAAACACAACATGTACTGTAATTAGAACTGATTAATAACATAGATGGAAAAGTGACTTCCGTTAATAAGCAGGCCACCTCAGAGTGAAAAAGGAACCACAAGTAAACCGCAGTAGTACCTATCTGTTTCCTTCTGTCGTGTTGTTTTCTGTTGTAAGGCAAATTCCAGGGTATAATTCAAAAGGTTCACGGCCCGCCATCCCCAATCACGGAAGCATTTAGCTGAAGTGATCCCCCCCCCCAAGATGCAGAGGCCATTAGCCAAAACGATCCCACCCCCTCTGGGTTCAAATCCTAGAGAACCATAAGAGCAAAATCCTTTGCACGAAGGGCAAGTTGCCTGACGGGATAACCTCTCATCAACAGCAACAGACCCTAGTTTGAATTTCCAACAGTGGGTTTCGAACGCAGGAATGGTGTTACCTAGCAAGGGACGATGTATTGCGTTTGCGCAGGACTCCACCCTTACTTATTTAATTTTTTAAAAAAAACATTGCTGGAATGTTTAAATGTTCTTAAAATAATTTAAACCCTGACCAATGCCATTTCATTCGTTCTATGTAGTTTCATAATTTATTGTAAAATGCCATCACTAATCGAATTTCGATCTGTCGCCCTTTGTTCACGAACCCGAAACTTCAGCAGCCATAAGTAGTAAGTAACCTTTTTCCCCCCCTTTTTTTAGTGTCCCGCTACATGCCTATGCAGAAACCTGGGGGAAGTGGAGGTCTAGCTCCTCTCTTCCTTGACCTGGGCACTAGATGGAGGTGAGTGGTCAGCATCACGCCTCGGCCGGCTTTACCCCCGGGAAAGGACCCCGGTACCCATTGTAGAGGAGGCTGGGTGGGCCCCAGAGCCGGTCTGGACGCAAAGGCTAGAGGGAAAATCCTCTGCCCCCGTCGGGGATCGAACCCCAGTCATCCAGCACGTAGCTAATCAAGTAAGTAACCGTACAATGTTTATTCCAGCCCATGCCCCACTTCAGTTGGTAGGCCTGTTGTAGGATTAACGGATATCCAACTGTTTAAGCGAAACACTTGTAATTTAGCACAATGCATGATCATGTCAGAATATTGTGATTCATTCTTCTTTCATTGGAATTTTGCATTAATGGGAAACTTTGAAGAGGGATGATTTTTTCGCGTCAGCTGGGCTTAAGAACTTATGGCGAATGTGGCGTGCACATGGAATAGTTGTGAAATATTT